ACAAACCCCCAATTCTCATTTAAATTGCAGGTCAGATTTATGTAATGCGCCACAGCCCTATACAGTAAATTACATGTAAAACTCAGTTATCCCTATTTAAGTGACAGAAGAATAGAACACTCAAACTGCACTGTTTCTCTCTCCAACGGTGGTTGAATAAAAGAACAAACTGTGCTAAATAATTAAGGCAGTAATGTGTTTGACCACTTTTTAATGTTATTTTTTCTGTTATTATGGTAACAAATGCACACTTGAAAGAAAACTCAAGTGCCAATAATAACTAAGAAGGTCATTTATAGGAGGTTAAAATAGTTTAATTGGAGTTTATTTGAAGGTTACTATATGAGTGCAGAAAGATGTTAAGGGGTTAACCTATAAGAGATTACATTGTAGTCAGTGTTCTGTTAAAGTTTGAATTAATTTTTCCCATGGGTTTTTCACATTCTAATTTTCAACTAAATGAGACATCTGTTTCAGAAAAGGAAAATTTGCTATGGTTGTCATAGCAACCATCATTCTGTAAGAAAATTATTCCAATGGTTACTTTAGAACAGAAAGGCAGAAATTCAGTATTGAAAGCACCATACGATTGCTACTACAAATTTTGAGAATCCAGGCATTTTTATATGTAAGATGAATTGACCTGCAAAATTTGTTCTTATGTTTTTAAGAAAGGTTAGTTGTTCAGAAAACAGATTCTCTTGAAATATATTTTTCCCTATAGTCTTATAGGTAGTTAATCATTATTCTGTCATAATAATAAAAGCACTGAATTTCAATAAGATATTGAGAGATATACACTGTTTGCTAAAAGAAGGCAAAACTTAAATCAGAGTACACTGTTAATCAGGGAAACTTGGCTCCTAATGTTGAAATACATTAAAGGTATGTGTATTTAATTTCCAGATACATTTTTGCACTTTTCTTTCCTAGAACCAGAAGATTTTTGTCCCCAACTATATTATTGTAAAAAGGATAGTCATGTGAACTAGTTTATAAAGAAATTGTACTTTCACTAAGTAAACACCAAGAAAAGCAATCCAAAAGAGCATCAGATCATAACTCTGTAACTTTGTTTCCACATTCTATGAGGGATGGAAATATTAGACAAAGTTGTCTTTGCATGATTTCCAAGTCACAGAGTTGTTAGTGTGTATACAATAAGATTTTTTTCTTCGGCGCACAAACTTTGATGGTTGTTTTGTAATAACATTTCACAGAGACTTGAGGATTTATAAAATCCCTCTGCACATACAAATGATTTTACTTTTGTGTGGTTTGGGCATTGAAGTGTATGAATTTATTTAATGTATAGAATACTAACATTATGCACTGAATCCTTTCTAGGGCTTCAGATTTTAGCTAGAAATATTCCAGGCATTTCTGTCATTCTTGGGATTGTCATAAAAGACAGCATAATGGCAAATCACACAAGTTCTAACATTTCCTATTCATAAAAGAACAACTCCAGCATGCATAACTCACCAAATCTTAACTCAAGCAAATATGCACTGCATGCACAAAGAGAGAGAGGAAAGAGGGACAGTATTCCTTGTCTAAATAAGCTGCAGATTGTGCCTATTCAGAACAGGAAAACACATTAAAAAAAAGTAAGTATATAAGTGTTGGGCCTTGACCTGCAGTGATCATGATTTTTATGTTTAGCTAGTAAGGGTAGATGAAGGTAGTAATGAGGCAGGCAAACCACTGGGATATTATATGTATATATGTGATCCATAAACTTACGAATTTCAATGGGGTTAACTAGACACTGTCACGTTCTTTAATGGTTGAGATTATTTCTTAAAAAAAAAACACACACACTTCAGTACATCTTTAAAATAACTTTTTTCTTTACTGATTTCTTACCTTTTCTCTTTGGAAAATATTGGTGTTTTTCTCTCCATTTGTTTCTCAGGGGGTCTGTAGAGCATGGGAGTAGAAGGCCTCATATAGTGCCCCATGAAGACAGTGGATAGACTCCCACTAACTCCAAAGGGTATTGATTAGGACACGGGTGAGGAAGAATGGGAGAAAATTGTCTCATGAATAGTTCAGGTGAATTAGAAACCAAAGTGTGAATTGCCTCATTTGCGCTTTTTAAATATTTCCTTTTTTGCAAGGGAGATTTGTTCATGTGAAGACTTGTGAAAAACTAGGTTTGGGTCTGCAGCCAATCAGCATTAGGCTCTGTCTGCACTACATGCCTTTGAGCAACATGGAATGGCCACGTTGCTAAAGTCAGGCAGTGTACACCCTGTTTGTTGGCAAAATACTTCCACCCCCTATGAGTGGAGTTCACGTTGTTGACAGGAAAGTGCTCCTGCTGCTGATGTGCTGTTTCTACTGTCACGTGCTGTGAAAAAAAAGGTTTTTTTTCCTTTCGAGTGCGGGGGTTACACACCTGTGAACAACAAAAGTTGTGTTGTTCGGTTGGCAGTGTAAACAAAGCCTAAATGAATTATGTTGAGTACAGGACCAGAGTACTAGCCATTTTAGGATTTCATTGGTGACACTACTGACGGAGGGCCATTGGCATTTGTGGTGTGGACTTCAGCCTTGTGGTTTTTTTCAAAGAAACAGACTAAAGCACTGTAATTGCTGTATGGTACTAATGTGGTCTCTATTATTGTAATACCTGAGTAGCTCACAATTCTCATTTATTCTCACAACACTTCTGTGAGACAGGGAACTATTATTTTCATTCTACAGATGGGAAACTGAGGTACAGAGTATCTAAGTGACTAAGTTCTCACAGGAGCTCTGTGGCAGAGCAGGGAATTGAACCTGGGCTTCCAGTGAGTACCTTAATCACTGGCACATCCTTTTTCTCTCTAGATAAACAATGCTCCTTTATTTATAAAGGTAGTTGACTCCAGTCCTCTCACAGTTGGAGGAACTATACAGATTGATTGCAAGGCGAGAGAGAGAAGAGGAGAGCAACTTAACATAAGACAACCAAATAGATATTTATCTGTAAATACGGCTGCAGACAGACTGCTAGCTTATTTCAGGATAAGCCAATGAACAGATGCAGCATTACCACCCCTGCTGTGGGAAGGTGAGGAACTATGTACCTCAGCCACATGCTGCTCTTCCCGGGAGGAAAGCGGCCCACAGGGGGAAAACCACTGAGAGGTAAAAGCCCATCAGAAACCTCTGATCTGAAACTCACTGTTCTATGCCTGATTCTCCCTTTGGTAGGTAGAGCTGCCCAACCAACTTCTGCCCTGGTCAGCAGGTCTCTTAATGAATCTTTGCTGCCATTCATTTTCTTTCCTGCGCTCACCTTCATTTCTCACCACAGGTACTGGAATGATCCAACAGAGATGATGGTGGTGGTCACTACTGCAACAGCAGTAACTTCTAGTTAGGTTTTCACCCAGATTCCTAACTGTGAGCCAGGCAGATGGGCCATGCAGAACCATGATAGTCCCTATGACTCTTAGCTTGACACCAAAAATGCCGCATAGCCCCAAATCTTTGGCTCTACAGAAATTAAGTCTCTGAGCTGTGGAAGGAGGGGGAAGTTCTCACAGAAGCTCTGTTTTTTTTAGGGGGCTATCCTGCAATAAGTTAGCAGTATCTCTGCAGCCTTATTTACAGATAAGTATCTATTTGGTTGTCTTATGTTAAGTCACACTCTCCCTCTCTCTCTTGCCTGGCAACCAGTCTGTATAATTCCTCCAACTATGAGTAGATTGGTGCTTGCTTCCCCTTCTAGGATAGCCTGTGTCCCTTTGTTTCTCCTAATATGCAGTATTTCTCAGTTGTTTTCAATATGCACGTGTTTAACAGCATTCCAAAAGGATACGTGAAAACTATATGATCATGAAGATTGCAGGCAACGTGTTACTTTCTGAAGTGGTAGTCAAGCAGGAGTAATGGAAAAGGAAGAATAGCTTTGTGGGCATTTTCTTTTGTCTTTGCTATACATGATGCAAACAATAGTTCAGAGAATTTGTTTAAAAGTAATCTTGCTTTTTTGTTTTGATGCAGTGAGTGAGTGGAATGCTTTCTTCCACAAAGTGAGATCTGAAGAAGAACACTGGTTGATGTGTACATATTTATAAACACTAAGGCTGCAATTATCATAAACCTTATTAAATCAGAGCAGCGCATTTCTTATTCTCCATATATGGACATTTGGCCAGAACACCAGTCAGTCAAAAAAAACCCCCCAAAACTAGCCCCACATTTCGTTATTTTTAGGCTTCACTGGCATCATAATTTGCCATGGTAATATTGCTATGAAATACAGCTTTTTAATCAATAGGACTTCATAAACTAATGAATTATATTCTAACTGGCTCTGTTATAATCCCACCATTTAATAGTAAGATGTTCCATAAATAATGTGTTTAAATATCCAACAACCCTCAAATAAACTCTCATCAAGATATACTAAATCTTGAATATGTAAAATCTTATTTTAAAAGGAACTAATGTGGTGGATGACAGAGGAAAATTGTACATATACATTTATTAAATGTTTTTGTTCTGGTGCAATGCTTCCAATATTAGCCAAACGCAATATAGATCATTGCCCCAACCCTGTAATTAGATATTTATGAGTGCAGGGATCTGCCCATGCCAATTCAATTGTAGGATCAGGGCCAAACTGGGAAGAAAGCCATGATATGATCCAATACACACACACCCTTCAGAGTGGTGGTCCAATAGATATAATGGAACTCCAGGTATAGTACTACGTAGGACATTTCAACTCCTACAGCTATTGCCTCTCAGTATGATTAGAAGAATGCAATAAGTATGTTGCAATATATTGTCAGGCTAAGCTGATAAGCTTGTTGCTTTCCCACACATATTAAATAGTGATTATTGTATGTAGATATGGTGTCACTGAATGCAGAGGAAAGGAAAGTAATGCTATTTGTGTCCCCAAATTCAATAACCATAGAGAATCAGTCTCCATTTTTTAATTAGATGACCAATGCATATGAGTAGCATTGAAGACATTCTCCTCCTCTTTTTGGCAGGCAACCTTGGTTTTATGGCTGGGGCTTTAATCTTCCACGAGGCCAAGCACTATTAGAAAAATGGAACCTTATTCCAGATGGAATAGATATTCTTATAACACATGGACCACCTCTTGGTAAGAAAACATTAGCACTTTTAGTTACATATTTCAAATAATGATACTATAACTGTGTGCTCTTTTCAGACACAGGGATGATATTCTGGACCCAAGGGAAGTGGAAAGCAAAGCTCCTCTGAATTTAATTGGGGTCAGGATTTCATCCCAGGATTTCGGATCACTATTACCTAAACTCAGTTATAGAGATGTGAAATAATTTGCCTTAATGTACGTTATAAAAAAAAAGGCCCTGATTCACTGATGCATCTCACACTCTAGTTTTATGATCATGTAACTCCACTGAAATAGGTAAAGCTACACCAATAGCAAAACTGGAGTGACACGGTGATGAATCAGGTCTAGTATACTTACACAATTTAGAATCTGATCCTGCATTCTTTGCCCATGCAACATTCCATTGAAATAACAGAGTAGACTGGAAAGGGAATTGAGGATCAGACTCTAGGTTCCTTATTATTGGCATGTCTTTTCTAAAGAATGGACACCATAGTCCTGGAGGAATTCTGCAACTGTTGCATTTGGAACTATAGTAAAATTGCAGAATTCTAATGTAGATTCCCCACCAACTTTTTATGGTAGCATTCCCTTCTGTCAAATATCCTGCATTGACTTCTCCCTGGCTGCGTCTAGACTGGCATGATTTTCCGCAAATGCTTTTAATGGAAAAGTTTTCCGTTAAAAGCATTTGCGGAAAAGAGCATCTAGATAGGCATGGACACTTTTCCGCAAAAGCACTTTTTGCGGAAAAGCGTCCGGGCCAATCTAGATGCTCTTTTCCACGAAAAAGCCCCGATCACCATTTTTGCGATCGGTGCTTTTTTGCGCAAAACAAATCTGAGCTGTCTACACTGGCCCTTTTGTGCAAAAGCTTTGTGCAAAAGGACTTTTGCCCGAACGAGAGCAGCATAGTATTTCTGCAAGAAGCACTGATATCAGACAGTAGGAAGTCAGTGTTCTTGCAGAAATTCAAGTGGCCAGTGTAGACAGCTGGCAAGTTTTTCCGCAAAAGCAGCTGCTTTTGTGGAAAAACTTGCCAGTCTAGATGCAGCCCCTCTGTTCATCATGAGTTACCACCTGTGCTTCCTTCTCATGAACCAAAATAGTGACACTTGTGGTGTCCATTTTTTAGCGAGGACATGCTAATGATACAGCAAACAGCATGTACAGACCAACAAGAACCGTTCTTATATTTGCATCTTTAAATTATAAATATGAGAGAAAGCATATCTTTATACAGATACAGGGCTTATTATGTTCTCTCATAATAATTATATGACCTTGATTATAGAAATAAAATATTAACATTTTAGCCCTTTTACAGAAAAGCTTTTCAGTGCATGCTTAATTGTGAACAGGTACTTAAACAAAATTGTTTGTCAATACGTTTTAAGTGTTTCACTAAAGCAGGGGTGGGGAATCTCCAACCCTCAGCCCGCACACAATTTAATCAGGGTTAGCCACTGATAGGCTTCCAAATGGTTTGTTTACCTGAGTATCCATAGGTATGGAGCCCTGCAGCTCCCAATTGCTGCGGTACATTGTTCCTGGCCACTGGAAGCTGTGGAAAGTGACGCGAGCTGAACCATTGCCTCCCATGGCTCCCGTTGGCTGGGAACGGTGAACCGCACCCCCTGGGAGCTGTGAACAGCCATACCTGTGGATGCTCAGATAAAGAATATACCTGGTGGCCCACCAGCAACTAACCCTGATGAACCATATACAGCGGGTGCACTGGAGATTCCTTCCTCCCTCTGCACGAAAGCTTGAGGGAAAGGGGTTTCTTCTTTGTAAACCTATGTGCTCCCAATAAGAATGCATGTTTAATCCATTGCATAACCCACTTCCAGCCATCAGATTTATTTTGTCTATGAATTTGGATCTTGATTGGTAACAGCCATTCATCCCTCAGCATTTGCAGATCTGGAGCTGTCAGCCCTAAATATTTAGCATAGGAGATCATTCAAAATCACAAATGGATTGGTGCCCTAAAGGTTAGTATTGGATCTTTGTAGTGTAGCTATTTATAAGTCAAAATAAAACAATTGTAGTCCATTTGAAATATCTTAACTTTTATTCTTAAAGTCCCAAACTTCCATCTGATTAGTCATGGAAAAAAATCTCTCCTTTGTCAGTTTCAAAGAATATCCATGTATCTAGTGTTCATAATTCTCTTATTGACTAGCCTGAGTATTTATCCTATTTTTGTTATCTTCAACTATCCTCCTCAGTTGTTCTTTGACATGTTGACTGTTTTGTTGCTTTTTTTCCCTCATGGCTTGTCTGTATTAAAGTTTCTATGGACAGCTCATGTTCACCGCTGAATGGCCTGCAATCCTTTTGTGAGATGGATCAAAATATTGCTCCACCTAACATGTTATTTACTTTTCTGCAATAGCCACTATGTGGCACTCAAAAGGAAAATGACAGCCTCCTCACCCTATTACATCTAGCTATGTCGTAGGCTGTGCATGGATGGGTTGGGAACAGAATTCTGTCCTTCACAGGCAATTATTTAAGCCTGGAAGTAGATTACTATTATCCTGGTCTTAGTCTGAATAATTACAGATGCTATCAATGATCATAAAAGCATTCAGTATGCTTGCAAATTCAGTCACACAATGTAGAGAATGTCTTAAATAGTAAGGTTATAATGCTTCAAAAAGAAACATTTCCTTTTATTGGTTTAAATGGTTGCATGGGGTATCCACAAGCGACCCAGCAAATGCTGTTACTGCCATACCTGCAATGCCAGCAGGGATTCTTATTGCTACATTAGGTTTAGAGACTCCAGTAATAGGTGGCGTCTCCTAAATGACTCAGAGGATAGCCACCCTCTTCTGCATGTGGTCCAAGAGAGGGAGCTACAATGGGGCCCTGTTGGGTTGTATCCCGTTACTGATTATAATATCCCTCTTTTGAGATGGTGCCTTATGAAATCATGTCCCTCTTCCCCCTTTCTTTTTCTCTTACATAGATGTCTTAAATCTACCCACTGTCCACTTTTCTCTTCTCCCTTTCCTGCAGCAAAACAAATACCCTTGTCATCAATTGATGTTACAGAACTACGCTGATGAATTGAGTGAGATTTTAAAAGTGCCATTGATATTGAACAGAATTGGTGCTCCTGTGTCACATAGGCACTTCTGAAAATCCTACTCAGAATCATTGTTCTTCATTATTTCTATGGCAGTAGCGCGTAGATGCCACAGTCAGGAATTGTGCTCGCTCTTGTGCCAGGAAGTGGACACATGCAAGGGGAAGACAGTTCCCCAAGATTTTACAATTATCTGATGTCATTGTACTCAGCCATCTGTTATTGAGGATATACCATATCTTCTTGGGTCATAATATCTAAAAGTGTGAGAGACTCTTACCTTTGGTTAGAGCATATTGGAAATACTGATTTTTGCTGTAGTATTTTATTGTTTCTTTTGAATATGTATTAATGTCATGCTTTTTTTTAAAGAAAAAGTCAATTTCCTTCTATGTAAAGAACTAAGTTCAGGATTCTTTGTCTTCTATTCAAGAATTCTTTCCTTTTCTTCCGTTCTTTTTTCTTTTTTATAAATGGATTTTATTTCACCTTTAAGTCTTTATCTGTTGCTGTCTGCATGGATGTCTGACAAAGATTTATACTTTCCTGACAGTTACAAAAACCTGTTTCAAGTAACCAAACATAAGAAATTCTTCAGATGAACTCTAATTGTTAGCTAGATGTAATCAATTATTCTTAGTTTGTGTAGTCAGGTGTATATAATAAGCAGCAAACATATGGGAAGGATTCAGAAGGGTGATAATGCATGTAAACAAAAACATGTTCAACATAAATAATGCTTAATTTAATAGAGAAGTTAATTTCATGAATTTTTGTTTATAAAGTTTTTGAAGTGGAAATACCTTTGCCTTCATATTCACCACAGACATTTTGACAATTAACTGTTTCAAGTCACTGAAATAACAAGAGCTTGTCTTAAAAATCTGTTTGGTATGAAAAAGGGTTTGAACTAGATTCTGGAAGGTACAATTTCTCAACTACTTTGACATATTAAAGAATTGCTGTTATTTCAGGGAATGAATTTTAAACTGCCATAGAGAACAAAAGTGACCAGAGTCAAATATCAGAGTTTAATGGGGATCATCTGTGGTATCATTTAACTGGATTTTTTGTGAGGATATATAGACCAAAACATTTGGGATAACATTTTCCATAGTACATATTCTCAAACAGGACTTAGGCATTTAGTGGTGTAGGTTTCATTGACTTTCAAGGAGACAAAAATTCTGAGTGCCTAAAAATGGGATTTATAAATCTAAATCACTTACATATTTTAGAAATGTTTACCCTTAGTCACAATACCTTAAAATATGTCAAGTCCAACCATTCAAAATAGGCACTATAATGCAAACATGTGGGTGTCAAATATACCCTTACGGTGGTATATATCAGTTTTGCCTTCAATGCACTCTTCTAATTGAGTGCTCCATTTTTTATTTCATTGACATAAATGGCTTAACTCCTTGTTAGCCATATCGTATCCGGCCCCCGTTCCACTATTTGAAAACTGAATCCAATGCAGAAAAGTCTCTAGCTCATTCCTATCCTCTCACCCCACTATAAATGTAATGTATCACTCCCTTCATATGTACCTTCAGAGATAGAATCATAGAATCATAGAATAATAGGACTGGAAGGGACCTCGAGAGGTCATCGAGTCCAGCCCCCCACCCTCAAGGCAGGATCAAGCTCCGTCTACACCATCCCTGACAGATGTCTATCTAACCTGTTCTTAAATATCTCCAGAGAGGGAGATTCCACCACCTCCCTTGGCAATTTATTCCAATATTTGACCACCCTGACAGTTAGGAATTTTTTCCTAATGTCCAATCTAAACCTCCCCTGCTGCACTTTAAGCCCATTACTCCTTGTCCTGTCCTCAGAAACCAAGAGGAACAAATTTTCGCCTTCCTCCTTGTGATACCCTTTTAGATATTTGAAAACCGCTATCATGTCCCCCCTTAATCTTCTTTTTTCCAAACTAAACAAGCCCAGTTCATGAAGCCTGGCTTCATAGGTCATGTTCTCTAAACCTTTAATCATTCTTGTCGCTCTTCTCTGTACCCTTTCCAATTTCTCCACATCTTTCTTGAAATGTGGCGCCCAGAACTGGACACAGTACTCCAGCTGAGGCCTAACTAGTGCAGAGTAGATGTGCAATTGGCATATACTGCAAGCAGGAGGATAAATAAATCTAGAGGCATATAAATTATATAATCTATTTTAGGTCCTCCAAATTGGAGTGGCAACTTTTTATGATAGTGGCAGAGATGTGGCAGCACAAAACAATTAAATTATTCCAAACCAACAGAAATTAACCAAATTATTCCAATTTGCACTTCTGAATAGTGTTTCTGTGTACATCTCTGGACTCTTTGGTCTTCCGTCTTTTACATAGATTTACAGGAGATTATGTTTGCACTTGCAAACAGTCACATATAAAGTGTCACATTTTGGCTACCCTACCACTTTGAAGGAAATACCAGGATTTAGTCAACAATTAGCAAACCTTCTGAAATTACATTAGTTTATAAATACAATTTCATGTCCAGCCTGGAGTTAGCATGAGCATTTAGTTTTTATTATGAAAGAACTTCAACAAAAATGCTGTATCCCATACAGGTAAATATGCCAATCACAAATGCACACCTCTGCAAATGACCCAGCAGACACTAGCAAGGAGAAACAATGAACCTTGCAGTTACATGAAACTTCTCAAAAGCAACAGGGGAGAGCTGGATTCTGTTCCTAGTTTCCTTTTGTGTTGGCCACTAGAACTCCGTTGCTAAATGCTGGAGTTTCTGCCCTTACACATGCCCTTCCAGAATTAA